ATGGCTTTTTTCACTTTCTTATCCAATAATTATTTTAAACTGACTGCCAAGATTCGACGGGCTATTAAGGTTTCAGGAGTCACTGCTGACTCGCCAGCCGCGCGTAGAAGATCCCTTGCCTGTATCTTTTAAAAAATGATAAACTAGTTATTTTAATTAGTGAATGATATACTATTTATTTTTATTAATATGCTAGTTATGCCGGTAAATTGAATTACAACAGAGAAGAATATAATAAAGTGAATTAGCACAGTGAAGAATATTATAAAACGAGTTATGGCAAAACAAGTAAAGAAGTAATGAAGAAAAAAGTTTGATTTTAAATTAATTTAAACTTCCTTCGACATTAGGGGGGTGATTTATCATTTAAAAAACTCGGGCGCAAAAGATAAGCTTTATAATTTTTATCATTACTAATTATATACGTAATATTGCGTCAATTAATATCATTTCAATAGGATATGCTATATTAAGAAGTAATTGCAATTGTGTCAGTTTTATATCTTATTATATTGGCGCTTTCAAAGGTGGGACGTACGCTTAAAAATGTAAAAAGTGCTGATAAATCAATCAAAAAATAGAAGCTTGCAAAATTGTTTAAATGTTCCTTTCAATTTATTATCAAAAATGAGAGCTAAGAGGATTTTATATCAAAATACATTATAATAATTGCTCTCAAAAAGTTGGGACCGTTATTGTATGAAGCTCCTAACTTTTCTAACACATTTATTATCTTGAAAAATATCTTGATTAATTATCCTGAAAATTATTATACTGACAATTGAAATTCGTTTTATGAATTAAGGTTGTCATAAAGTCATTCAAATTAACAGTAATCCGAAGTATTTTTATAGTTTTCTTTATAATAGTATCTTTCACAATAAGTAAATTAAATTGTAAACCAATAAAACTGATAGCACGGAATTAATGTGTGACTAACGTGATAACTAGATTAGTTCTTATAAAGTTTAGCTGTGATTAAGAAGTTAGTGATCAGATTTATCTACTAAGTACTTTTTCGTGACCTTGTAATTAGCTAATAGCAGACACAGCCACACTCCCATTTGTATAGTATTTGATTACTAAAGTTAATTTATACGCGAGAAAAAGAAACACGAAATAATTTCCTGAAACTAAAAGACAATTAATTCAGAAAACTATTGTGCCCCATGTGTCAGCAAATTTCATTAAGTATATCAATAATTAAAAACGTTATAATATTATTTATAGAAATAAAAAATATTTATTAGAGGGATTACTCAAATAATGGCCTAAATAAATTACCCTCTATCCTGAATTCACTGTTTTAAAAAAGGTTTTTCTTGATTTTAATATATTATCGGTAATTAATTTTATCAAGAGGAAGGAAAAGCAATGTTGTTTGTAACAATGTCTCAAGTATTATTACAACCACATAAATGTTTCATATGTTCTCAAATAATATCAGTATTTGTGATTTAAAAGATGAGATAATCGTAGATGTATGGTAAACATTTAAAAAAAATCAAAGATGAAAAAAAAATTTAAATATTCCATGCCCAGTTACAAAATACTTTGTTACAATTTTCTACATTGATTAAAAAAACATTTTCATGTTTGAAACGATGTCTCACAACCATAACAATATATTTGAGACCTGCTCAGAAAACAACAGCAACACGAAATCTTCTATAAAGTAGAATCACTGAAGAAACATGTCTAAATGTTTGAAACTAGCTCATCAAAAATCATTTCAAGGGGTGATTGACCTGTATCACCCCATAAGTATTCTTTGTTGGAAATACAAATTTCAGCACGTAAGACTTAAGATCAATACAACATTTTATGGGATTTATATATATATAATGGGATTATTCATATATTATGGGATTTACCCATATATTATATCAATTTTGGAATACTTCAATAAAGCATTACAAAAATAGCGGCTTTTTAATTTGCCAAAACAGTTTATTACTTTTGATTTGCCTTGGTTTTATTCAAATCAGATGGTATATAAGACGAATAAAAAAGGGAATAATATATGAATTTATGATGTTCTATTTGAATCTGAAGACTTACTAAAATTTTCATTACGTCATTGAAAATAACACTTATGAACACAGGCAGAAAGAATTATTTTTTTCTAACAAAAAACTTATTTTTTAATTTTGTATTCGGTATCGAATCGGACAACACTCACGGTGAATATTATTTTAAACAAATAATAACAATGCATTTTAAACAAATAAAAATCCTCAAAATTATTAACTTAATATATACCTGACACAAAAGCATCTTGGTTTTGTAATCTTTTTCTCATTTATAACAGTATCAGTTCGTAATTGATACTGAAAAATTGATTGTTACTCATTTACTTTCTATAAAAAGTAATATTCTATTACCCGGTGATTTTCTATAAAATCGTCTTCGACAAACAACGTATTTCTGTGCTCCATCATTAAGCTTTTTCCTAAAATAAAACATAAAGCACGTCATATTTTTATGGAAACTATTTTAAGAAAAAAGCGTAATGAGACAATGTTTAAGCATTTTGACAAAACCGGAAGCGAGATATTTCTTACAAAACTAAACGAACAAAAATTTTCATCTAACCCATTAAGATTTTAAAAAATATACTTTGCGACAACGATTTAATAAGGTATCGTTAAGTAAGTGATAGTGTGTTTATTTTCCTTCCTGTCTCAAGCTAGAATGTTAGCTCTTGATATAAGAAAATAAAGTAAAGTTAAAAGTAGGATAAAGAAAACATAAGTCTATTTACTGTTTAGAGTTTAGTAAAGAGTTTCAGATATTTATTAGACGAGAGTTTTGTTTAAAATTGCTTTCCCCCTTTCAATTTATAAGCTTTCTAAGAGTTTTTTTAATATTTAAAGTTTTTTTAACATTTTAAATAGTTTTTTCTTTCATGAACTTTCAAAATCCACGAACTTTTTTGTCCATTTGTGAAAATCTTTTTTTAATTTTATATTCATCTATTTTTCAATCTACAATTATTATATTATTTAAAATGATGCTTAAACGTTTTTTTTTTCAAATATGAAAAATTTGTCTACACGAAATCATTCCTTCTATCATAAATAATACTGTACATCCTTTACTCTTATTCATAAGTATTAATCGTGATAAACTGATACTTTATTAATTAGAACTGATACAAATAAGAAACCTTAATTGGGCAATCTCTTGGATGCAGAGGAGGTATTTTATTTCAACTCTTTACATCTGCCATTTATTTAATCGTTTATAAAAAAATTCATTTTTATTACTACTATTTATATGAATTGGAAAAATTACATTCATGTAAAAGGAGATAGGATTATTATTATATTTTTAATGCAGCAAAAAATCATATATTTTTTATTCTCAGCAAAAATAAACATTTCTCTGAGAAATAGATCTGCAAAAAGAAAAGTAATCGCAGTTATTTCCACACATTTTCCTTCAATGCAAGACTACTCACTTAGAAATTGGATATCATTTCTCAGAGATGTCAGAAGTCACGTAGGAAAATCTTTTTTATACTTGCCAATGCAATTCCCATATGCTAGATTTTAACATTCATAAATCAAATGCTATTCTATAGAACGAATTGAAAATGGCAAATCTTTTTGTGTCCACATCAAAAAGAGTGTGATTAAACGAAGTGTTATTTATTTATCAAAATAAATAGTTTTACATAAAAGCAGATATATATATATATNATATTTCTTCACATGTGTCTTAAGGGAAGGCCTCGGCACGGGTTACCATAAACAAGAAATTTGATCCTTTAGTACATCAAACGTAATGGCATCTTTCTTATTTTCATCCACTGCACAATTTATGTTCGTGACCTTGGACTACTAAATTGATTCGTGCTGAGGTCTTCTTTCTTCTAGGAAGTGTTGCTTAAGGCCGGCCGTACTACTAAAAGTCAAATACAAAAAAGTAGCCTTTATGTGAAAGTTGTCAATGATCGAAGAATTAGTAATGTTGCTCAGGGATCTTCAAGCTGTCGAGTGATTAAAGTTTGTAGCCTCTCTTGTAAAATACAGAGGGCAGACAGAAATGCTTATGAGGAGAAGGTGATTCTTGAGATGGCCAGGCCCATTCAAAATTCTGAAATTTGCAAAGAAATCTATCGGGGGAGGTGCATGGGAATGGAATAGGGAATAAGTCTGGATCACATTTTTCCTGCATCATTAACAGTTTCGTTATTTTAAGCAAATTTTTTTGTTGTCCTGACTATGGGGGAAGAATTTTGATTGGCCAGCCGATAAACCCTCTCGTTTTCATATATATCATAATGACTGGGAGTCCACCGGAAGAAATTCAATCAACCATAGTTGATAAGTTCATCGATTTCTTGTTTTGTTTTCTCTACACGATTCGACTAGCTGCTTTAAGAAGAGCGAAGTGAGAAGATGGCTGACTGCGAATCAACAAGGAACCCAGCATGATTTAGAGATGAAAATACTGCTTCTTGATTGCCTCCATCTCAGCTTCTAAGTTTGTGACCAACCCTCTTCTCTTTTTGCAGTCACTTCTGCATGTCTCTTCGATGATAATTTATTATCAAGGAACACATCTTTTTTGCATAGATCTTAATTTTCATATCTAATGATCACTGAGTGTTCTTTGATTGGCAAAGTAAAAAGTCGGTACTTTGTATTGAAAAGGAATAAGCCAAAGCTTTAGAAAATTACTTCGTAACTTAAAATATTGTCTGCACTAATTAATTAACTCATTGAACTTAAGAATCCTAGTAAGCGAAAATCCTATCGTTAGAACAAAAGTTATTAAGATCGCATTTTTCTTCTTGCATTGCACACACTTATTTTGAAGAATTTTCTGAAGAGATTGTATGATAATCAGTATTATCAATCATTAAAATTATTTCATTTTTCTGTGTACTGTACATAGACTGATGAGCAGTAGCGATTGTTATTTGAGTGTTATTATTTTCTACAATTAAAACAAACCATTTAATAACAAAAGTTTTCTATCCTTTAATTTAGGTCGAAATACTTCCGTGGGAAAAGAATTCATGGAGATTGGGATATCCGTATGGAGCAGGTATGTTATTTTTATATCTCATAAAACAAATATAAAAATGATAATCATTAACAGATAGGTAAACTACTAGTTACATTTAAAAGTTGATACCGGTTATATTTAATGAAGGAGACAAAAAATCTATTTTTAATTAAATATGAATTTTTGTTTATCGTAAAAAAATTCTTTTAAAGAGATTGGAAAAGTTATTTTTACTTTAATTTCGAGAAAATAATTTATTCTACAATTTGCTACCCTTATAAACTCCTTTCTTTAATGCGGTTTTGACAAAGATTTTGAAAATCTATATTAAAGATAATGATTATGAGACATTCGTTTTTAAATAAACGGAATAAGCGAAAGAAAATATGTAAATACAGACATAGAAGGGAAACACTGCTAAAAAAATTTCGATTAAAAATTTATTAGTATTTAATGTTGTTGTTGCTTCTCATGCTACTTGACAATATCAGAAAGCTTGTTTGGTGAAACAATGCTAGTTTAAGGCAGAGGGTGCGTTTCTTGTATTTCATTAGCGCCATCTTTGGCCAAGAATACTACTTCAGCCACTCACACTTCACAACCCGTTTACAGAGTGGACCCATTCATACTTAAATTCATTCATCCACGGATCGTAGTTTTGACATGAACCAGAAAACGACCAATATCCAATTCAGAAACCCTAGAGGCATAATTTGTTATGAGAACGTGGAGGATTTTGTAACCCAACAGACTTAACGTGCCCCAGTCACCATTTACTATACTTCGGCCGGTGAGGATCGAACCCACGACTTCTTGGAATTGAGCCCAACGCCCTGCCAACCAAGCTATCCGGCCCATTATTATTTAATTTTTGCATTTGACAATCTTGATTTTAAGAAAATACCTTAAAAGTCACCTTTACATTATTCGGAAATTTTAAAAGCAAAATGAAGCACATATTTTTATTAAAAAGTATAAGAGCATAATATCATAACCCTTTTTGTTAAATTTTGAATAGAATTGGTGAAAAAATTAAATAATAATGGCAAGGGTAAAACCAATAACAGCTTACTTCTATCGCGCTAGCGAGATTGCAAGAAATACTACACCTTTCTAGCTTACATGAATTTGGAATAATTTATATTTTTAAAAATATTCTTAAATTTTCATACTTATTACATTTTAGGAAGAAAAAGCATTTTTCAAATTTGTAGTACGTTGTTTCTTTTTAAACCTGAAATTTTCGATAGAAATTAGATATAAAGAGATTTTTTCCTCCCTAAATTTCAATGACTCAAATTGTATTTCGTTAAGATTCTTTTCTTATTCATTATAATCTAAAATTCCTCTTATAAATACAATTTAATATTGTAGAAACACTTTGAATCAATGTACTCTGATTAGTGTAATTTACTGCCTCTCTGCTACCAACAATCACAAAATATCTCTAATATTATGAAGAAGAAAGCCACTGCAACAGTAGACAACAAGTAAAAGAATGCAACCAAATGGGACACGCCCTAGACTCTAGGGACCTTTAATGGATGTAATGTGCAGGGGCTATTCCATGCTAAGATTGTTGATTTGGGGTGTGTTGTTTGAATGCTAAAGGTCGTTTAGGTGTTCTATAAAAAAAATAACTGGCATCCTTTTTAAATGGTTGTTTATTGGCTCCCCCCTTCTTTCATTTCCATAGTGGTTGTAACAAAATCCTTTATTTGTTTATTTGCGAACTAATATTTATTTGAATAGTGATAAATTAAAAAAAATAATAATTTTAAAAAATATACCTAAAATGTGCTAAATTATTTTTTTTTTAATGGCGGGCACTTGGAACTATTGTCCATTGGCCACAGAAAGTGTCAGAACTGCTAACTCTCTTTTCGCTACCCTGTGGGCACCTGTGGCGAAGCCACGGCGGTGGAGCAGCGTCGCCCACGTCACACTACCACAATTCGTTTATAGAGCGGATCATATTTACACACAAAGGAGAAGGGACATAGAACACAGATAGAGAGGAAGAAACATCCATGCCTTGCCCGGGATTCGAACCCAGGACCTTTCTGATGCATGGACAATTCCCTGCCCCCTACACAGGCCGGTCGGCTGTGCTAAATTATTAAAAACCTAAAATGAACTAAATTTTCTAACATGATCTGAAATAATCTAAAATGAACTAAACCATATACATAAAATTACCTACATTGGAAAAGATTAAAATAAATAAAAATCGTATTTAAATATTAGAGATGAAAAATATTTTTAATTCACTTGTTGTTTACAAAAGTTGTATATATTCCCTACGCTGCTTAAAGTTTTAGAGCGAGTTGAACTAATATCATGCAGACTTGAATAGGATGTTAAGTTAAACCATATTCCCGTGCAAGGTAAACTATCTTAACTTGATTTCATGAACCGCGGGGACCTTTAATGCGGTTACCCATGTTCGAATCCCAAACGTGGCTGGTTCTGCTCCCGGCTCGCACCGAGGTTTTCCTTTGCGGGTTGATTCCATCAAAAAGTCTTCCATAAGACAAGGACAGTTCAACGCTGGTTATAAAGGATGAAATAAAACTTGAAACCGATTTTTCTGAGAGTGTATTCAAATATTTTTAAAAGCATATTAAAACATTATTAATATTTTCAGAAGTAATTTAATTTGTTCAGAATATTTTTTCAAAATTGAACCGTAATATCTGTACTTTGAACCATAATTCACGTGACATCATGCGATCGTAAAATAAATTTATATGGTTCAACTTAGCATTTGAGCAAATCAATGCTACGTTAATGCTAATAGTGTTTCAAAATTCTATCTGAGTTTGATTTATTTGTTTTTTAAAATTGTTTTTAAAAAAACAGTTATATCATCGATTTAAATGTAATCATGTATTTTTATAAAAATGCATTCGCTATTTTAATATATTGTTAATTAATATATTTAAATCCCAAATTATATTTTTCAGTCAAGAAAAAATTGCATTAAAAATGCGTAAATCCTTCAAGTTAAAATTAATTGCTTTAAATAACGTAATAGCAAATTTAAAACTTTTAAAACTCTAATGAACTCCATTTACCATAAGTCATCTCTCAAGTGAATTCTCGACTTTTAAAAAACATTTTTTTCCTCATCTTTTGCCCTTTTAAATTCTCCCTGTGTTAGACATTTTCACGATAAGAGTTCGTTAAATATTCAGTTAAACAGAATTTTTTGAAAACATTTGATGCATTAAAGTAGAATATAAGCATGAGATATATTGTGGAAATAAAATTTTAAAGGAATAAACGAGAAACTGTCAAATTTACGAGACAAGCTTTATATGAATAGTTTGTTAAATAAATTAAATAAAATATATTTGAACAATGATGCGGATTATAAAATGCTTTGAACTAGTTTAAAGATTCATTATGCTTCATAAATAACCTCTAAAATACAATCAATATGAGGTGCTTATCAAAATATGTATTCTTCAATATATGAATAATAAATAAAGCGGAGCATTATAATAAAATGATAGTTAAAACCTTTTCCTTTAATTTTTATATAATATGCGAGCATTTTTCATAAATTACTTACATGGTGTTTCGAAAGACCATCATGAATATGTATTTTCACTGACATGTCAAAAATGAAAACAAAAAAGCATGAGCATCGTTAAAGCCCCGGAAGGAAAGAAAACATAAGGGTGATTCTTTGGAAACATGACAATTCGGACCAAAAATTTTCTTCAAATTTAAAGTCTTCAAAATATTTTAAATTTTCTTTTTGTATACTTATTTAGTTAAATTTATTATTATCTTGCAGACAGCAGTGTAGTTTATTGACATTTGTTCAAGAAAAAAAATAATATAGAAATTCACCAAATTTTAAATGCCAGGAAGATGGCATATTAGCTTAGAAGTTTAAAAAAACAGTCATTCTAAGCTAATAGTAAGTAACTCAACTTAAGCCTTTATGTTAGATGGACCATAAATTGCTTAAATTAATTATTTTTATCCACTGTTGAAAGAATCAAAAATGTTTTTGTATTCTGATATGTACAGAATAAAATTGTGTATAATAATCAATCTTTAAATAAATGAATAACTTTGATTACATTCAAGCATATTACAATCATACATAAACTTGGTATTAGGTTAATATTTGCTTTCCCTCTTTACAGTATACTGTTTAAAAAAATTTCTGGTAACACTTCAATGACCTGGCATTCATAAGCCAGGAAAATGGCAGCCAGGATAATGACAAATTTGCCATTTTATAGAATTTAACTTTACTTTAATTCAACATTTTGGCCAAAGACGTTTACATTCCGCAGAAAACAACAGGATTTCTTGAAATAACTCAGATAAATCTATGTAGTTTATGTTATTAATGATTTCAAGAAGACAGGAAAATGACAACATAAAAACCTACTCACCTTGAAAAATTTTTTTAATAGATTTTGAACCAGAAAGTTGGTTCTTTATTCATGCATGTTCAGATAGGATGGTATCTAATCAATCTATTAACATAAGATATTGATTGCTGGCGCTATCTGTTTTGGTTATAAACCACTAAATGAAAGTAGTCTGGAAAATGATAGATTTTCTTGTGACAAACAAATTATTGACAGAAAAAAATTTTTCAAGCAAAGTTTTCGTAAATAATACCCTCTGCGTATACTCTAGAAATGCTTACAACGGTTGAGATAAAAAAAATTAGATATTGAAAAATTTATGCGAAGTTTTGAAGCTAGTTATTATTGGAAATATTGTTTGTGACATGCCAAAAACATGACATTTTGAAATTCAATTAAATTTTATAGATATACAAAACAGTCGATGCTAGTACAAGGTCATTTTAAAATGCTAACAGCAATGCTATTTATTAAAATTTAAAAAAAGAAGTTCTTTTAGTAGTATAGTATTAGATCTTTGAGCAAGAGACTGTAAATTGTCATATTTCGGGAGAATCACCCATAAACACTATCAAAACTACACTATCATAACCCAAACAAACTACACTATCATATCAAAACTACAGTATCAACACTATCATA